TCCTTGAGTTATTTCACACTAATTCAATTATAAATTGGAGAAATAATACCATTATTTTTAACTATAGATTAAAAGTTATTAAAATCAGGCTGATAAATCTTTAATTGAAAGTTTAATAATGACTGACTGTGAGAAATTTGATTTCTATAATATTTAAAAGTTCTTCATATATCTCATCAAAGTGAAGATTATAGTGCAAAAGAAAGTGAGACTTTTCCTGAAGAAATATTGAATGCAAAATGAAATATGATTCTATTTACAAATTTACCTTGTAAATTACTATCAATGAGTATATGAAGGTTTACCAATAGGATTTTGAAGATTATTTACAAATCAACAACAAGACAGTATAAAAGTATGTTCACAAGATATGCAATATGGCAGACTTCGGATATCAGAAGTTTTAGCTTTTGTGGAAGATCATTAAATAACTCCTGCATTTTGGCCCGATTTATTAACAAGAATTTTATCAACCATTAGCCAGGACAAGTTCAGTTTTATTTAGAGCATACAATAAAACTCCCTGGTATTGGTAAGAAAACTCACTACCTGGCCTATGTGCACTGGTACAAGCCAGCTCGAACATCAGCAACATGATGCTACCAGATGACGAAAAAGCAACTTGTCTCGCAAATCTTTGGAGCGCTGAATTTTATAAAGAAACGGCAGATTGTATCATACCAGTTCACAATATCTGGTGTCATTTTCTTCCTGAAAAAGTTGAAGTTGGAAGAAAAAATTTGATGGCGGTGGTTATACTATACCGCCGCCGATTTTATTGTAAATTTCCATTTGATGAGGGGATTGTAACAAGTCATCCCGTTGGATGGATAGTTGCTCTTGTGATTGTTTCAATCAAATATCACGTAATTTGTTCGCTTTTTTTCTCGTTTTCTAATAAATTTTTCGTAATTTTTCATTCTATTCACAAAAACTGGTTTAACCAAAAATCACGTAAATTTTGATCGCGTATTTTATAATAAATTTTCCATTTTATTCACAAAAATTAGCCAAAAAAAAGCTAACATAAAATTAAATGAAATAGGGACATCAGAATTTGATAATTGCGAAAGGTTTAAATGTAACATATTTTAAAGTTACGCAGTAAATTAATCAGAAAGTTTTAATTTACTATGTAATGGATCGAAATTCGGTTGTTTTCATTATAATGTAAATCAGATATTAATAGCCAGCCAATCAGATATAAATGGATAACCAATCAGACAGTGGTCTAAAAACGGCTGAAAGAAAGCGAGGTCAATTTATCAGTTGATTGTAATTGATATTCTACCAATCAGATTCTGATTTTTTAGACTTCGACCAGTGCAACCTCCCTATAGCGACCAAATTTCCCAGATGAATCATATATTACTATAGGAAAAATTAACCTCTATATAATGACATTCTCTTTATAGGGACAAAATTAGCCTAGATATTTGATGTCGTTATAGAGCGGTTGACTTGTAAACTTCCATGTGCAATATAATCAACACATTTTCAGCATATATTTCAGCGCTCTTTCTTTTTTGTTATATATTATTTTTCTTAATTTTATCGATTTAATAATAGTATTCCTTGATTAAGCTAAGGATAATGTAAAAAAAATGGCTTTTGGCCATCAATGAAAAAAAAAGAAATAAATTGCGTAGTTTTCTCTCATAAACATAAAATTTGTGCACAGTTATAGTCTAATTACCTTTACCCACAGTAAAAATCCCCATAAACGCACTAATTGTGACAGTATTAATGTATCATATCATTCCTTCTTTTATTACATAATAAGAGAACAAATTAACAGTAAACCTGTAAAATTTGAAACTTCGTTAATTGAAACTCAGTTGACTACTCAAATTATGGTTTAAATGTATGCTTGGTTTACTGTATCATTTCAAAGTGACAAAGCGGTGCATGCGTAGTTAGAGTGCAAAAATTTCATCACGTTGACGATAATACACAGTCATAGCTTTAATCGCGTATTGCATAAAGTCTAAATCTGTGACTTCAGCAATGACCTAAAAATATAAATTGGGTCAAACTTCAATTTTTAGAATAAGTGCATTGAAAATATAGAAGGTTACATACAAGAACCCAAACGCTACAATAAAAAAGCGAAACGAGCGCGAATTTCGATACTTCACGATAAAGTTCATCTACTTGTTCTTCTATAATGTTTATTTCTAGAATAAAATTTTTTATGCTCTAATCAGCAAGCAGTATCTTTTTATAATTGCAGATACATGTAGTTACCTGGATGAAGCGAAACAAGATAATGTCGTAGCCATACAAGTTGAAAATCTTTCTTTGGATATAGACTGTAATCAAAGTGAAAACCTAAAACAGAAAACCTAATTAAAATTTTTTAAAACACAGAGACAAAGCCAATATACAATCCTTATAAACCTGCAAAATTAATAAAATGAAGACCGATATCAAATCCACGATAATTAAAAGATCCATGCTCGTAATCAATAAACGATACCTTCTTTTCAGGTTCTTGATAAATTATGTTTGTGTACAATAAGTCGTTGTGACAAAAGACGATAGGTGAATTTATTTTAGCGACTTCGCATTCTAGATAAGCAGCCTATAAGGAGTCAATGATATTAGATTTATTTATCATATATTGCTATATTACGATATTGCTATATTACGATACTTTCCTCTTCTTTGATTGTTTCAAGTTAAAATGCTGATGAAACATCTTGTTCTTTTTTGGATTTGTGTATTTCTCGGGTACTATTAATAACATTTTATAATTAGTTTTTAACAAGAAAATGAATCATGGTAAGAAAAGTAAGAACCTTTATTTAGCCAGCTGTATATTTTACGAAATAAAATCTGTTCTTTACAGCTATCTTTGATATTCACTTTATGAAGCTTTGCCAATTGCTTCGCGATTTGAGCCGAAATAAATGGATCCTTAAGATTTTCAAGAGTCAAAGATTTACCAGGTACGAATCCATATACGAGTCCATTTTTGAATTTTGCGTAAAGTGGAGTTGATAATCCCGCTTTCGACAATACTAATAAATTCTATAGAAAAATAAAAAAAAAGTAATATAAAATAAAAGCAAGAAAAGAAAAAAATACATGTAACTTCTTACTCTAATCTCTTGCCCACGATCAACAAATATATGTGAATCCTTTCCGTAGACACGAATGACAACCTCAAATCTCTCGTCGGTTTTGTTACGACATCTCACAACTATAAAAAAAATTCGATATTTAACACCAAATTAATGAAATTTTTTATTATATATGTTCACCTGAATTAGTCAAACCATCATTAAAACGCGAAAACTCCAATTCTTCTTCTTTCCAATCGTTAAAGGTGCTCAATACTATAAATTTTACACCTTCAATGAGATTTGAAAGGTCAACTGAAATATCTAAATTAACATATTCATTATTACTAATTGCAAATTTTTCAAGGTTTTGTCGCTTTGAAATAGTAGGATATTCTTTATGATGTAACATTTTAGAACTTTAGCCCTTTCGTGTTTTAATATACAGCGAAAAGAAAAAAAGACTAAATCAATTATTGACAATAAAACTCCATCACAAGGGATATTATTGGTTTAATTTGATACACTAAACTTTTCTCGGAATGTTTTGAATGTTTTGCAGATATTTTTCATTGAAATAATTATAACGATAACTACATATGACGAGCAAATCATTAAGGAGCGGTGTGTAAAATTCAATGTTCTCAGAGAACATCACAATCTTTTTGAGAACATTTTGGTTTAAAAATGTTCTCTTATTTAAAAACAATTTGATCCTAATAATTATAAAAAATAATTTTTTTTTGGAGAACAAATTTTAAAAATTTGGGAACATAATTTATTGAGAACCTCTTTATTTTTTTTGAGAATATAAAAAAATTTTCGTTCATTTGAGAACATGCTTTCAAATTTGAATTTTATCCACTGTTAAGGTTGCTCTACTTGATTCTTGCCCTTATTTTTTAATCTGTCGCGTCTTTTAGAGTTTTCTATTATTAAATTTTTATTTCTAATCCATC